GACAATTAAGGTTGTTTTTTTTACTACTTCTGAGGGATATATATCAGTCTTGTCGTTTAGCCAGCGCTTTTGTGCTCAAGTCTTTTTTGCTCGCCAACACGCCTGCAAAAACTTTGGTGAGCACATAAAAAAGTGCTTGCCAAAAAAATAAAAGTATTTTGTTTTAAATTGCAACAAAACTTTTTTTGTTAATTTGTTCAACTTTTATAAAGTAAGGCCTTCTTTTACCGCTTTTTTTTTTTTTTAATTATTTTATCTAGTATTTATTCAAAACATTTTTTTTTGCTATTTTATTTTATTTTAAATAGCAGAAAAAAGAAATTTTTTAAATCGCACAGACAAACTTAAAATCCTGCCAGCACTTTTCCTTGCGCTGGTATTTATTTTCCAATGGAGAAGGCTGATATATATTTATATATATTTTACACAAAGGTTTGTATGTTGTGTGGGCACTGTTGTGCACTTGTTTTGTTGGTAAAAATCTTAGAGGTGTTATGAATTTTATCCTGTTTGTGTCTTTTTATAATAAAAGCTATCAAAGAGCCTTGTGAAAATAAATGCTAAGAAATAGTATACATAATTAAATTATTTAACAATGTTAAGTAGTCTCCCAATTTAAATCCTTTTAATTTTTGTTTCACAATGCAGTTTGACTTTTCTAAATGTGGCAAAGAATTTAATTGCTTTCAACAACCCCCTGGCTGTACTGATACCTGTAATGCTGCTGCAACATTTTTATATGATTCAAATTCCCAGAAAATTGTTTTTCAACTTTGGGCAAGCAAATCTTTAAAATGGGTGGCTTTTGGACAAAAGCCAAACAACAATGGCAATTTTATGGTAATTTTATTTCCAGTTTTTGAGTTTAGTTTAATTTAATTAAGTTAATTTGTATTGTTAAAATTATATCAAGTTTTGAAATAGCTCCAAATTTGAATTTATATTAGTAAAGTTTTGAAATTTTAAAAGATTTTGTTTGGAAATAGAGAAATTATTTGTGTTTGCAAAACTATATTATGTTCTTATTTTAGATCAAAGTTCGAGGGGAATATTGCATACGACTACCAACAGTTGGTTTTGGTAATTTTAATGGTAACAATTTGAAGGATGCTGGTACACCTCAATGGGTTTCTGAAGTAATATAAATTTTATTTGTTGTATTTTATTCGTGTTTATTTATTTTTATTGTTATTAATTTTTATTATCTTTATAAGTATCTAATTTTATTTTAATTTAATAAGATTTCATTTATTTTATCACAATAAAGTTACAAAATTTATTTAAGGTTGAAGGTGTTAAACTTCATTCAACTGAAGTCATGCATGATGGCTCTATTTTATGTAGGTGAGGAAATATCTATTTTGCAGGACCCTTCGTTAAGTTGTTTTAGGTGTTTAATTATAACTATAGGCAGTTTATTATGATAAAGTATGATATCACTGTAAGTATTATAACATAAATGTAAAAATTATGAAAAATTATTTTCAAAAAAACTAAACCTGTGTACCTTAGATATGAAAGACCTTTAAAGTTATCTAGTGAAAATGAAAACTACTTATATGACATGAATGAACCTTTATATGCTGCACTTGCTTTCGGAGATATATTGTCAGGTATTTATGGTTTCAATTTATTTATAAAACTTGAAATTAATAATCTAAAATAAAATATTAAAAAAAGTATATATGTATTAATGAGTAATGATATATAAACAGATAAATAAAATTGCAACATTATCTGCATACAATATGTTTTCAGATTTGTGCAATTTTAGGTATATTTTTTAGGAAATTTTCCTGATCAACATGCTGATTATATAAAATCAAGTGGTCCAATAGATTTTAAAGTAGTTCAAGATATTAGTTTTGACACGATATCCATTAAGCTTATAAAAGCTCATGGTAATTTTTTTTTTTTAATCAACTTTTTTTATACTTGAAAATTTTAATAATAATAATAAAGTATGGATACTGCTTATGCAATTTTTTTTAAAATTTTATTTCACTTCCCTAAGGCCATGAAGGCCACTGCAGTCAAGGACTTTAGTTACACCCCATCTCTCAACTCTATAACTCCAAAACACAAACCTTGACAAACAAGGTTGCTACGCGGAGAAACAAGTTGAGCTCAGTACTTCCAGGGGCGTGGTGGGGATTGAATATTGCCAAGAAATATCTATTGTAACATTACAAAAATTTATCAAGTTTATTTATCATTGGTTAATAGATAGTGTAAATTTGTTACTTGATATTTATTTATGATGATATTTTTTCAAATGTTATTTTTGTTTATTCACATTAAATCTTTTTTACTTCAAAAATTTTTTTTCCGTATCTTATTTTAGTATTTATATGGGATTTAGATATGAAAATGGTGTATATTTTCTTTATCTTCAGCTTGAAAGTAATTAAAAACAGCAATAAAGGAAAACAAGTTATTTATTTTTACTTTTTTCACCTCTCCAAAAGCTGAGGGGATTGTCGATAAGAAGAGGAAAGTAAACGCTTAGAACCTGATTCAAATCATTTGTTCTAAGAACCTTGAGTCCATATTTCCAAACATTCATGTGCGAATGTTTTTAAGTACCGCCACTACAAACTGCTCATGAGAGCTTTCATTCAACACTCTAAAACGGATCAAAAGCATCTGTCATCAAACGAATCTACTTATACATTATGGACAGACACCATGTCTCTTTGACTACAGTCAAGGAGACATGATGTCTGTCCATGATGTATAAGTTTTCATCTTATTGAATTGGTTTTAAATCAATAAGTTATACCAGCTATATTAAAAAGATTTTTAAATATAAAAAAGTTGAGTAATTTTTTAAAGAATTTTTGGTATTAAGTTACTTCAAGCTAGAGTCGATAGTTATTAAAAAAAAAAAAAATTATAAAAAAAATAAGACTCAAAAATAAAGATTAAGTTACTTCAAGCTAGAGTCGATAGTTATTAAAAAAAAAAAAAATTATAAAAAAAATAAGACTCAAAAATAAAGATTAAGTTACTTCAAGCTAGAGTCGATAGTTATTAAAAAAAAAAAAAACTATAAAAAAAATAAGACTCAAAAATAAAGATTAAGTTACTTCAAGCTAGAGTCGATAGTTATTAAAAAAAAAAAAACTATAAAAAAAATAAGACTCAAAAATAAAGATTAAGTTACTTCAAGCTAGAGTCGATAGTTATTAAAAAAAAAAAAAACTATAAAAAAAATAAGACTCAAAAATAAAGATTAAGTTACTTCAAGCTAGAGTCGATAGTTATTAAAAAAAAAAAAATTATAAAAAAAATAAGACTCAAAAATAAAGATTAAGTTACTTCAAGCTAGAGTCGATAGTTATTAAAAAAAAAAAAATTATAAAAAAAATAAGACTCAAAAATAAAGATTAAGTTACTTCAAGCTAGAGTCAATAGTTATTAAAAAAAAAAAAAAATTATAAAAAAAATAAGACTCAAAAATAAAGATTAAAGTTCTCAAGAGTTTTTTTTTTTTTAACTTAAACACAAAAATATCTAAAAAAAAATTTTGATAACTTTCTATTTAAACCCAAATAAGTTGCAACCATGTTTTTGTTTACATAATTTTTTATTTGCATAAGTTCATCTAATAATATGGCTTTTATGGCTTTTCATCTAATTATATGGCTTTTTTATTTGTTTTTTTAAGATAAATTATTTATGTTTCATTATATGTAAAAATATGCAGGAAAATGTTTTACACAAACACTCATTTTAAAAATTTATTTATTCTAACTCACTTTAGTTTATGTTTCATAATAAATTAAATGTAAAAAATTAAAATTAAAATAAGATTTGAAATAAAATAAGAATTGGAAAGACTTGCAACTTTTAAATTTCGCACATTATAGTTTTTTGTTCTAATTAAGGTACAACTGCTTAAAGCAATTAATTTTTCTTAAAAAATTTGGTTTCTAGTTATAATACCCCTGGTATTTTTGGGTTATCTGTAATGAATATATATTGTGGTATTTTTCATTATAATAGTATTTGTGATTTAATGATATTCATTTTATGTTTTTTGTGATTTTGATATGTAATAAATATATTTTTACTTAGAATTGTTTTTAGCATTAAGGCAATCAATTTTATTCTTGTCTATAATACCATTTACTTTTAAATTAATATGTTCTGTCCTCAGAATGTTTTTTTTTTTTTTTTTCAGGTAGCCTAATGGTACTTGCGTGGATTTTTTTTATAATCTGTGGTATATTTACATCACGTTACATGAAACCAATCTTAACTAGTAAAATAGCTGGTAAAGATGCTTGGTTTAGGGTAAATTAAGTTTTAAGAATGTGTTAATGTATTATTAATTTTTTTTTGTTAATAAGAAGTGCTACATTTTTAATGTTGTATTTTAGATACACCAGTCTATCATGATAATAGGTTTGCTGTGCATGATTTCTGGCTTTGTTATTATTCTTGTCCACTTTAATGGAAAGTTGTATCTGGTAAAATTGTTTATATTTTGTTATTTAAAAATTAAATATTTTAATGGTCAGCATTTTATATTTTAAATTTCATTTTAGAAAAATGATATTCATCATTGGCTTGGATTCACTGCTATTATTCTTGGTTTACTGCAGGTAAAGAAATTTTCTGTACCTTTCTTGTTCTTTTTTTCATAATGGTAATTTTTTAAATCATTATTCCAAGTTAAATAATTTTTTAATTTTCATATTGAGTTAGTTGCTTAGCAACTTTAACTTATAAACAAATTCATAGTTTTAACTTTCCACCATTTTTGTTTCATACATTTACAAATAAAAATAATAACTTATTTGGTATCAGTTGTGATGTTGCTTCCAAAAAAGTGATTTCATCTTCCAAAGAAAATCTGTCATCTTAGATTTGAACATGCTCCAAAGGGAGCAAGTTCAAAGCTACAGATGATGCCTTGGTTATTTGAGACAAAGTTAAAAAAAATTAAATAACAAAATAGTATAAGGTAAATTTAAACATAATTAGTAAAATATAAGGTAATGGTAGAGTTGCAGTTTAAAATAAGAGTTGAATATTTTGCAGGTATTAAATTAAAAAAAAACTCAGGAATGATAATCTTTGATGATGTTATCTTTGAACTAGAAAAAGTTCAGACAGCATATGAAGGAAAAGAATTGAGGCTATAAAAAAAGTTAAGCAAGTTAAGAAAAGTTCAGTAAGCTAAAAAAAAAAAACAAACTAAAAATAAACAAAATAAATAGCACCAGTGTTTGTTACTTTTAACAATAATCTCAATAAAAAAATAATTCTTGTTTTTTATCATAAAAAAAAAGTTGAATTTTTTTTGTTTAGAGTGTAATATTTTTGAATATGTAAACTTATATTTTAAATTTATTTTGTTTTATAGCCAACACTTGCTATTTTTGTTTTATAGCCAACACTTGCTATTTTTGTTTTATAGCCAACACTTGCTATTTTTGTTTTATAGCCAACACTTGCTATTTTTGTTTTATAGCCAACACTTGCTATTTTTGTTTTATAGCCAACACTTGCTATTTTTCGGTGTGCTCCAGATCACTCAAAGTAACTTTTTTTCTTTGAATAAAAAATTTATTTTTCATAAGACATGTCTATAAAAATATTTTTATTATTATTATTATTGTGATCATTGTCATTGTATTTATCTTTAGACGCTACTTATTTAACTGGATCCACAGATTTATTGGAATGTCAGCTTGGTTAATAGCAGGTCAGAATTTATTTAAAACTTTTATCTTTTGCAATATATTTTGTATTTTGCAATGTGATTTAGTTGCATATAAAATTTTGGTTAGTGCAACATTTTTTTAAATTTCCACAATCACATGACATCGAAGAAAAACAAGGCAAAGTAATATTATTTAAAACAATCAACTTAAATGTTTTATTTTGGACCTTTAAATATTTTTATATGGAGTTATTATTTAAAGTATTGTGTGTGTATTTTGTTTAAATAACATTTATAACTTATTAAATTTATATATTTTTTAACTAGTTTCCTCGATAGTTTTTGGATTGAAAAAATTATCGTTAAACTTCATCCCAGCTATTGCATTTGCTGGTATTGTTCTTGTGCTATTTATTGGCCTTGATCTCATTCAGTTATCTTCTCAATATAAATGTTTTTTTACAAATGATCGTAAGTTTTTAATTTAAGTTGTTTATTTATATTTTGGTTTAATAAAAAATCATATCATTCAATACATTTTTAGAAAATATGTTTGAATCTGAATCTTACAGCATCTTGGGAAATGGCGAAAAGAAAAAAGTAATTTAAACTTAATAAATTAAATTTTTTTTACAAAATTATTATTTATTTTTTTCAAAGTAACAATTCTTTAAAACCTTTTAATATTTGTTTATATATAGAGAAATAATCTATAACTGTTGTGTATTGTTATTTACTTAATATCATTGTTTGTAAACAAGATTTAACAATTTTTTTAGAATCCAGCATGCCATTACATCTTTATGGCAACTATTTATGCCATGTCTTGCGCGGTTGCAGTTTTTTATGTGTTTATGATAATAAAATATTGAACCACTTGTACAAGAATATTTATGCTGAATTTTTATATTATTATTTAAAAAGTTTTACATTTTCGGAATATAAAGTTTCAAATATTTTAATATGAAGTTCAGATCTTTAGATAGCACTTTTTTAAAAAATTTTTAAGTTTAAATAGGCATTTAAAAAATTCTTTGTATTTATTATTATTCTGAAATTTTTACGAGTTAAAATATTTTTTTAGTAATAATATATTACATATTATACATTACATATTGTAAGTAATCTATATGCAAATACTATCAAAATATGTTATTTGATATTTTTTTACATGTTGTATATGTACATATATATACATTTTATTTTATATTATAAATAATGTATTTTACACACTATACACTGTAAATAATACATTTTATGTAATAAATGTCGGTATTTGTTTGGTAACGTTCGGTATTTATTTGGTAACGGTATTTGTTTTTAGCAAAAAAAAAAAAAAAAAAAAAATTTAAATATTATATTTTTACTTTTTTATTTTGACTTCTATGTATTAAATAAACGCACCTCACAAACAAAACTCAAACGAAATTTATACCCTCCACCTTATTTATAAATTAACTTATTCTGAATATCATAAATTTCTATTTTTGCAAATAAAAATAATAAAGATTTCTTCTGTATTAGTTATTTTCAAACTGACAAACTTTCAAAATAACAAATGGATTTCTCATTAATGATATTAGCAGTTAATTATCATTTGTTTTTATTATTCTTGTTTTATTTTTTAATTAAAATATATTTCAAGCAAATTTTAACGGTAAAAATAATATTTATTAATTTTACCGTTAAAATAATAATAATTATTTTATAATCTATGTTAAAATTCAACATATACGAAAAAGTCTTAGTGATAAAACTGCTATTGTCTTCAACACGCCATGTTAGTATTTATTTTTATATCTTGTTATTGTACTCTCGAGTCCTTATTACAAGGTGGGGTCTCATAAAACTATTTAAATTTAGCGTGGCTAGCGGTCAAATGCGCATCTTCTAACAGCTATTTTATATTAATTTCAATTAAGGACCGGCGAATATTCGTTAAAATTCGGATTACGAAGTTTTCTGAATGGCGAAATTGACTTCGGCTTCGACTTCGGTGCCAAAGTTGAAATAGAAATTCGACTTTCAGTTAAATTCGGCACAATTTCAAAATTTCATTTAACTTTGTTGAATTCGAAAGCTATAAAGATATAAAGTTTTTTTCAATTTATAAAAAAGAATTATAAAATATATTATATGTTTTATCTACATCAACTATATATTTATGTATATTAAGTATACATTTATGTATATCAACTATATATTTTGTATTTATGTGTATTTATATTATTTATCAACTATATATTTAACTATATAACTATGTTTCTATTGGTTACAACCCTCTTTCAGAGTTGAGAGAGGGTTGTAAACCAATATAAAAAGTAGCTTCCACGACTTAAGTGGCCCACTCGGCCTTAAAAACATGAATTCAGTAAAAAAAAAAATCGTTCAAGTTTGTTCAAAAACAGAGAACAAGGGTTGTAAAGATTCCATAACTTAAGTTTTCATTATTACTGTATTTTTAGATTTTTTATTTTACGCAAACTGTTTTTTGTAAGCGTATATATTTTTAATAAATTAAAATTTACTTAGCTTCACTTGTTCTACGTCAAGTTTTACATTATGGTTAATTACAAGCTAAAAAATAAATAACTTAAGATCATAAAAAATGATTATACAGCAACCGCTGCGAGCGGTTGCTTTAGAAGCGACCTAGGGTTTAAAGCAAGCTCCAGGCATATTTCGCACCATTAGTAAAGAAAAAGGTTTGAACATTCTAGTTTAATACTTTTCTAATGTACTCCGAGCCAAAACTGAAGTCTTTTTGAAACATTTTTCAAATGTTAGTAGTATTTGCTTACTTTAAAGTTTGTATTAATTTTTTAATTACTTATTATATTGTAAAAACGAACTAACAAATGTAAACTAAAATAGTAAACAAAGAACTTGCAAAACTAAGCGAATGGTTTATACAGTGGTTTTCATAAATTTAGACGCGCTCATATTTGAGAATAATAATTTTTGGTTTTTCAACGATAAAACAATGACGAAAAAAGATTTTAGTTTAGTTTTTTTTCTATTTATTAGATAAATACATACAGAATACAAAATTTAAAAAAAGTTTACAAAAAAAATGAAATACTAAGTAATAATTAGGTACAACTACATGGTATTAAAAAAGTTAGACAAAAAAAATTATTCATAAATTTAGACGCACGATACATTAGAAGGCGTAATTTATGAACCAATCAATATTTTGTGTATCCACCTTTTGCTTTAATACAACTAAGAACTCTTCTAGGCATAGACTCAACAAAATTTTTGCACATCGCTTCTGGGACCCCATACCAGTTCTCCTTAAGTAATTCCTTCAGCTAAGTAAGTGTGGAAATTTGAACCTTTGCTAATTCACGGTCAATCCAAGCCCAAATGTTTACAATCGGGTTTAAATCAGGTGAGTATGGAGGCCACGGTATTGTCATGATACTATTATCGTTGAACCACTCCTTTGCATAGTATGCAGTATGTGCAGTAGCGCCATCTTGTTGAAGTTTCCATGGTTTATCATTGAGCATAAGCAGGTCAATTGATGGAATTAAGTTGTTTTCCAGTACTTCTACGTATATTCTGGAGTTGATTTTTCCGGTGTATGTTTGGCACATACCAACACCTTTGTAATTGAAGCATGACCAGAATCCTATTGAACCTCCTCCACTTTGTACAGTTGGTCTAATGTACCTGGCATTATACTTTTCATGAGCCATTCTTTTGACTGTTATGTTAGATTTGTGATTGATAAGCTCAAAGTTACTCTCATCACTCCACATAATGTTTTCCTATTGTTCTATTGTCCAATACCTTCTTTCACGACACCATTTTAGTCTCCTTTGTTGATCATATGGACGTAGAAGCGGTTTCTTCAAAGCAGTGTAGACTCCAATCTTTTTTTTGATAAGTATTCGGCGGACTGTGCTTTGAGAAATAGATGTATTTCGCGTTGTATTGAATTTTGTGATTGAATCTCTGTAACTAATTCTTGGATTAGCTCTGACAGCTCTAAAATGAACACTATCGTCCTTTCTGGTGGTTGACAAGGGTCTACCTTTCCTCTTTTTTTCGCTGGCACCACCAGTGTGAAGAAAGTTTTGTTTCGTTGTCCGAACGCATTTCTCAGAAACTCCAATTAACTTGGCATTTACTTTTGGTTCCTTCTTTGATGTGCGCATTAATTTGCCATCTTTCACCTTGAGTGGTACGTCTTTTGCCCATTTTTCGCGTCTTTTTAGTGCGAAACTAACTTAACTTTTGTTTATTTATTAAATAATGATTAACTAATTCCAGGTAAGTCATATTTATATAAGGTTTTTTGACAGAATCAATTACTTTAGGCCTATTAATGAGAAATACGGGGAAAAAACTACTATCAATTAACAAGATATAAGACTTTTTTGATTGTGCGTCTAAATTTATGAACAAAATAAAATCAAGCTTATCAATTAACTTTTTTGTGTTAATCGGTATAGAATAAGTAATAAACATCCTGTAAAAAAAATTAAGGTACTCTTTAATAGAGTTTCACTTCCTCTTGTAAATTATATATCAAACAATGCGGTAGTACTTTTATTTTATTTTTATTTTGAGTATTTTCTTACATATATGAAAAAAAAATGAATGCGTCTAAATTTATGAAAGCTACTGTATATATATATATATATATATATATATATATATATATATATATATATATATATATATATATATATATATATATATATATATATATAATATAACGTTATATATATATATAACGTTATAAAAAAGATTTATGAGAAATATTAACGCTTTTGTGATATATGCATTTTTTTACATCAACATTAACAAAAACAATATACGTCGATATTGAGGCCAATGTTTTTATATGATTTTTGAAGAGCATGAAATTCTCTATCATAATATATTTAACTGAAAAAAATTAAAATAGTCTGCAGTTAGGGTTTAAACTAACCTGTTAGTTGAAACCTTGTCAAATTAAATATTAGTTAACTAAATCTGCACTTAAAACTTTGGTCGTTTGCTTATTTTACGCTAGATTGCAGTTAATTTTAGTTTATTTTGTTTGCCATGATACAAATAGTCCAATAAAGTCATAATCTCAATTTTGGAAAAAAATGTCAGTTAAAACCTTGTCAAACCAACGCGACGAACTTCAGAAAAAAACAACTGGCATCGTTATGCATAAATTTACGCATGCCAATTGTTTTGTTTTTTTCTTGGGAAATTATAACGCTCTTTATTTTCTTATTAAAAAGATATTTATGAAAATTTAAATTCAGTTTAAATTCTTTGATATTTTCTATTGATTTTATCTGCTTAGCATGACTACTTACATCTATTTCTATCTACTCTGCTGTATATAGTTTTTGGTGGGTAGCAGTAACACTATCGAAAACAGCCAAACTGATTAATCTCGACAAGGGAATTTTCGGAATAACATCGAAATAGAGAATAACATCGAAATTGTAAAAAAAGGAGTTGTATCGAAAATCCGAAAAATAGAATAACCTCGAAATTGTGAAAAAAGGAATAATATCGAAAAAGGACTTTTCGGAATAATATCGAAAAAAAAAACATTTCAAAATTGTTAAAAAAGGATTAGTATCAAAAATCCTAAAAGCAGAATAATCTCGAAACAGCTCAAAAGAGAATAATATTGAAAAAAGACTTACCGAAACAATATCGAAAGTGTGAAAAAAGGAATAGTATCGAAATTTCAAAAAACGGAATTAGATCGAAATTGTAAAAAAAGGAACAATATCGAAACGGGACTTTCAGGAATTAATTGAAACTGTAAAAAAAGGAATAAAATCGAAAAAGGACTTACCAGAATAATATTGAAAAGGTGAATTTTAATATTAGGTTTGAAAATTCCAAAAGCAGAATAAATAGACGGCAGTTTTTTGCGGGGCAAATTGGGCCAAGAGTAAAAAAAACTCTGTTAAAACTACAAAAATTAACTCAAGTTAAAGAAAAAATGCTTTTTGAAACTGTCAGAGTAAAGATTCATTTACATTTATAAATATCAAGAAAATATGTAAAAATCTAAGAAAAAACATTTTCCACATTTAGGGACGGGAGCCATGACGTTGAACTTGGTACAATGAGCAAAAAAAAAATGCTGAAAATTTTTCAGTAATAGCTCAAACCCTAAATAAGTAAATTTTGAACTCTATTTTATGAAGTGCACCACCAATTTTATGAAATATCATGCAAATAGTTTTGTCGTTAACATGGAAATGTGAATGAAGAGTCACATTATAACTGAGCTTTATCATATTTTGATTTTACGCGTTGCAACGCGTTAAAGTGAAGTATGATAAAACTCCCAAATCCATGTTAATGAAAAAACTATGAACATTATATTTCACAAAAGTGGTGGTGCACTTCATAAAGTACAGTTCAAACTTTACTTATTTTCAGGCTTCTTTATCCGCCTAAATTGTAAATCAAATCCAAGTGACGCAGTTATAAATAATGCTGTTTATCATCTGCAACAACAATGTTGTTTTTATCATAGATAACGTGTTGTATCTTAGAAATATTAGTGATATCTTTTGGAAATAATAAAAAAGATCGCCTTTGTTTAAATGCTTGACAACATTTGCCCTTTAGTGAAATTATTTAACAAAATGATTTTGGGCCCACTGCGTTGAATGTTAACTAAATATTTTATGTAAGCAAAACATAAAATGTGATAAGTGATAAATTTAATAGAAAATTGCTTTTAATAGAAAATTTATATCAATAGCAACTCTTTAAACAAAATGCATATTTATTATAAAGCAAATTTAGGATGAAAAAACCTTATTTATAGCTGTTTTGTGCTGGTCTGTAAAATCTGGGTCTGTGTTTTATATAATCTATAAGGTGTTATATCTTGGAAAGTAAATATTTTCAGCATATGGTTTTCACATACTTTTTGACAAGCTTTTTCCAATTATATAGCTTTTTGTTTAATTTCTATATACTTTTTTGCTGACTGTAACAAGTTATGATCCCGGCCCAAAATGTTTTAGCACTCGTTTTCTTCTTCTTAGTTTTAATCTAGTTAAAAGCTAGCAAGACAAGTTAAAACCTAGATAAAAAATGTTAAAAGCAAAAAGTTGCTTCTAATACGCTTGTGCACACGAAAGTGCTAATCGTAACATAGCAACCCTCACTATAAGTCTTTTGTTGATACTGTCACTTGCTTCAAGGAAACTTATTTAATTTTGCTAGACAAGCAGCTGTAGATTTTTATGCTACATTTATCTATACAATAACTTTAACATGTAAATGACTATTGTCTCTAGGGAGATGAAATTTATTTAGTACTTATCCTTAACGTAATATGGGGTTTGCTCAACCGAAACCAATACAATACGCCAACTTACGGAAAATCTTGTAGGCCCAAATGGAATTTAAAGTCATTTATGTAAACTAAAAAATTACGTTATTGATTATTTTTTATTCCAGAGCAATAGGAAAAAAATGAATACTGCTTTTATATAATTATTTTTTTTCTTATAAATTTAAACAATTGTGTGACATTCTAGTTTTTAAAATATAGGTAAAAGGGAAAATTTTACTGAATCATTGAAAAGGTTCAATTATGGATGATATTGGTCCTCGGCAAGTGGGACAATGAGCTGTGTTGCTTTTTTGGACTTGCTGAATGCAAGGCTGATAAAACAAAAAATGTCTGCAAGACATTACTAATGCATTTTGTTCGTCAACGGTACAAACAACGCACTTCGGTGACTCTGTTGAAGTGGAAGTTGGCAAATGACTCTCACCAACCTCGTTCATTGAGTTTTCATCCAAAGCACTAAAAATATTTAAAAATTTCAAATACAATTTTCCATATTTCATGGAAAATATCAGATTATCAAATAAAGTTGAACTAACTAGTTTGGTAAAAAAGTTGATAAAGGTTAATACAAGGTTATACAAAAACTTGGAAAATTATCTTACACTACTTTGAAGTTTTGAAAGAGATATGATACTGTTGATAGAAATCTCTCAGTTGTCCAAACTCCGTCTCGAAGATTTTTCTCAAAACAACGCATTTTTTCAATTGCACCATAGTCGCGTTGGTCACGGCGGACTGACTGACTGCAGGCAAGCTGTTGAAGCTCTTAAATTGTATGGACTATTACATGCTGGTTAAGCAATTTCATAAACTGCCAAAATCCTCTATGTCGATCACCCATGTTTGATTTCAGACGTCTATTGAGACTCTCTGCATTGTTATTGGTTTTGTGGTTCAAGCCATAAACACTGAATCCTTCTGGGGTCACTATATTGAGCCAACAACTCTCAAAATACCTTTTAAAAGCAAGTAGTTTGATTTTGATTTCGCGACTAAATTGTGCAATCTCTATAACTTGAGATCCCCAAGCAACCAAGATCTTGTTTGCAGGAAGAAGACAAAGTGCTGAAACTTTTCGTGCCCACTTTTTTACTTGAATTTGGTGGCGGTATTCCCTCTGAAGACCAAGAATTGCTAATTGCTTTGTGATTGCATTTTTGAAATGAAACCTAAAGATAAGGGTTTAAAGGAGATCATTAATTAATAACAAACTCTAAAAAACTTGGATAACTTAGAAACTGGAAACTAAGTAATAACAAAGTAATAACTTATACCTGCAACCATTCACCAAGTTTTCACTCCAAGTTGTTTTTAAAGCATTCTGTAGTCCTCGTTCAAAATCTGACATAATGGTGACTGGAGAGAAATCTAAACCTTCATTTATTTAGGAAAAGCAAGCTTGTATAGAGCCTCGGATTTCGATGTCATTAAAGCGTATACAGCTGGAGCAGATGCTCCCCAAAGGTGAGGGTTATCAGGATCAAAATACATCTGATCCTCATCTGGAGTTGGATTTTTAAGTACTGTGGAATACTCAAAAGAAAATATCAAGAGCTGATACCACTTGCTTTCCTCCATGCGTGGTGTCATGCTGGAAGTATAATAAATGTAACTATAATTTACAACTGTAAATAAAAGTGTTCTACCTAACGTTTTTAATATATCAATTTTTCGTCTACGGGCTGTCCATTAATAACGTCAAAAAAATAAGGAAGGGGGTGTCTAAATTTGTTTGAAAATTTTTGCTAAGGGTGAGGGGAGAAGGTCAAGTAAAATTGACATCAACAATGTTGCTTTATTTTTGTAATTTCATTTATCAAAAAAAGAAAAATTTGGCTGCGTTTTTAGCGCAGCTTTTTGATTTAGGGGAGGAGGGTTATCAAAAATTGACGTAATTTTATAGGGGAGGAAGTGTCTCTGGAAATTTAACAAATTGTTGACATGGGGGAGGAGGTAATATAAAAATTGCCAAAAGCTTGTTGATGTAAATGGACAGCCCCCTAGATAAATATATGTTCTTCTAGAACATATATTTTTTTGAAAAAGTTAAATACATACGTATAAATACCTAAATGTTCCATCAACAAAACACACTTTGGCCGATTTCGCCTTGTTGATGACTAGCATATGCCCAAACAGCAATGCTACGTTATCTTGTTCTGCAACTGATCCCAAGAAAATGTCTCCATAGCGATGACATTCTTTGTCGTTCAGAACTTCAGCAGCTTCATTTGGTAACTTTGGGTTCGAAGGCTCATTAAGCCTTCTCCTTTTCTGAAGACTTGGGATAATTTGACGAAAACTAACAGTTTCAGAAACAACTGCAGGAAACTCACTCATAGTGTTTTAAAAAATTGAGCGCAGGTCTTTGTTGCTTCTGCTTTTTTCTTCATGGTACTTTTAGCAAGCAGCACTTCAAAGTCTGTTTCTCTTGAACTGCAACTGTGAACAGTAACCTGAAGTTTATCTTCATGAATCTCTGCCTTTGCAGATCATTCTTGTAAAAAAACGACACTTAAGATGCAGTTTGTCCTTTATAAAGTTTATCTTTAGTGTATCCAAAATCACCAGACCAAAACACATTTGAATTTTTTCTTTCTCCTTCAGTTTCATTATAATTTTTTGATAAGTTCTCTAACGACATTTTGAAATATTGAGTTTCTTAAAAGTTTCTTAAACTTTAAGTTTTAATTCGAACGGAATTTCATTGCACGTGCAAATTAAACTGTTTATTGCGCGTGCAAATTAACTGTTCATTTAAACTGCTGTTCTCCATTGTAGTTAATGCTAACACTGTGTAAAGTTGATGCGATATTAGGGTGAAAATTTTTTGATGTTAATCATTAAAAAGAGTTTTTAACAATTAAAAAGAGTATTATTTTCGACATTAACCAGAAAATCTTATTTTAGATGTTAATCGTTAAAATGAGTTTTCGATCGTATTCTGTTTTTATTGTTTTCGACATTAATCGGAAAATACGTTTTCGATGTTAATCATTAAAATGAGTTTTCGATCTTATTCTGATTTTATTGTTTTCGACATTAATCAGAAAATCTTATTTTCGATGTTAATCATTCAAAAGAGCTTTCGATCTTATTCCTTTTTTATTGCTTTCGATATTGTTCCACATGAGTTAATTTCGATATAAAAACTTCTCGACATTAATCAGAAAATCACATTTTCGATGTTAATCAGTTAATGAGTTTTCGATCTTATTCCGTTTTTATTGTTTTCGATATTGTTCCAAATTTGTGAATTTCGATATAAAAACTTTTCGATATTATTCTGAAAATCACATTTTCGATCTTAATCATTAAAATGAGTTTCGGTCAGTTATTTTTCGATACTAATCATTTTTTCGATCAGTTAATTTTCGATACTATTCCGCTTTCCCTTTTTGGTGTTAGAATATTAAATGTTTATCGCATTGTTTTCTTGCTGCGTTATCATTTTATCTATTTCTTTTTTAAACTGTTTTAACAATTTTTATTTATTTGATCAGATGATGAAGCCATTACCAAATTTTAAATTTAGGAAAAATTTCCAAATATTTGAAGATAAAAAGCAAATGTCTCAGTGCTTTTTATTTGAACGTCTGAATTAAAAAAAAAAAAGAATCAAACTATTACTTGTAATGTTGTTAACTGTACTTTGATTTCCTGAAAGGAGTAAAGGCGAGTTTCCATTCATCCGTTTTTCTACGGGAACGCGGAAAAATAATCACGTATGCCCGCGCAATTTTCCTTCAAACAAATTAAAACTTTTATTACGTATGCTTACGTGATTACTTTTTCTTTTCCTTTCTCGTTCCCGTGGAAAAACGGATGAGTGGATCCTCACCTTTAGACTGCACTTTTGTATTTTTTTGCTTGCTTGAAGAACCATTTAATGTATTAATAAACTTGTTATCAAATTAGCTACACACACAAAAACTTGAACAATATTTATAAATTAGAGAGGTTTCACCATAAAATTGAAATATTTTTTTTATTCTTAACACTTGGTCGTTTCAAAATAAATATACATAAGGTAAAACCTAAAATATATTCACCCATATCTGCTTCATGAAAATTTAACACCATTGATTTCAAAATATATTTTACATATTTACACTATATTCGATGCAGATAAAATGCTTAAAAAAAAGAGAGGCGACAAAACAATTTTTTCTATTATTTATTAGTTATATACAAAAAAGGATTTCTGCCTAAAATTTGTTAGTTTATTTATACATAAATAAAGCGAAAAAAATAGTTTTTTCTGACTAAAAAAGCAAGTAATTATTATTATGGGTAGCAAAATGCGATGCTGTTGCATTAAAACATAATAATTATTATTCTTCGGTAACTGGTGTCACTTTTTTTTCAGTTTTAAATAATGAAACGGTTCTTTCAACTAAACGTCCAAACATCGTTGTTCCACCCTCCTTATTGGAGGCTATTGGATTTGAGTCATTAGTATTATTAAAGTTTCCTTTTAAACGATACCACAACAATTTACCTAAATTGTATATCACGACTTTAAACTTGAAAGTATTAAAAACAAAGTGAAATAGTAATGTTAAATTAATAAAGGAAAAATTGTTTGATTTTCATTACTGATTTTTAAATTTTTTAACGTTAAACAATTGACAAATGAAAAACAATATAACAAACCTTTTCCTTTTAAGTTGTTCAGATTATTAATTTTTTCAATAACGTCTGTAAATTCATCATCTAATTCTTTAATATTTTTGCGAACAGAAAAATGGGATCGCGTATCATCGTTTCCATCGAGTTGAGCATACCAGTCGCTAACAGACTCAAGACATTCCTTGATTTTGTTCCTTTCACTGTCTTTCTCCTAGAGCATAATTTACATTAAACAATGCATTATACAATAACGATTACACAAATACGTTATGTTTAAATATTGATAATAAACAAAAAATTTGTTAGCTTTAAACAACTCTTTAGAATACAAATCTTTTTTTAAAGTATAATAAATCTTTAATTTGTGATTTAATTTTCTATTTGTGATTAAACTCTCTACTTGTAATTATTCTGTAGTTTTTAATAAAAGCTTAAATTGTACGAGATTTTATTTCTCTACAACTGCTGTAAATTTTCATGATTTTAGAACATGATGAACTTCCACATTCTATATTGTATTATATACTTTTTATTTTTAGTTATTTTTGTCAATTAGCAATATTTAACTAATATTTGTCCAGTTTTAGCCAAATAATTTGAAAAATGTCTAAGGAAAGCACCAAAGTCTAGCAGAATGTGTTAGATTTTATACCAAGGTCCTATCCATGGTCCTTATTTTTTTTTAATCTACATTAATGATCTTCCCGACAACCTTAGGGGCTGTCCACAAAGGAGGTCACCATTTTTTAGACAATTTTTGACCCCCTCCCCTTGTTCACCGGTTGTCCTTTTTTCCTATATCACCCTTAAAAAAGATGTCATAAATTTGGGACCCTCCCTCTCTACTTTTTTTTTAAAACAAAACTCGTTCTTAATTTAAGCATTTTTGTTGAAATTTTTCACATGAATTACATTTTTCGTTTGCATATCATTCAGTAGCTTATTGGGTATTTCCACGTTTGTCATATTGTCACGTTTGCATATCATTCAGTAGCTTATTGGGTATTTCAGTTGTTTGTTTGCATTTCTCTTTTGCATTTGGCGGCAATGCAAACAGGTCTAACTCGCAAAAGGGTATTTTGTATTCTAACGCAAATAGTCATTTGGTTAATAAAAAGTGAAGGAGTAGTGCTGACATGCTTTTTGAACATGACTTGGGAGGCAAAGTACAAGTTAAAATTATTACTGATTCTCCGAGATAAACTTGATTGCACAGTGGGACAAAACAGATCATAAGGAGGAAGTTTGAATGATTTCAATGATCTAGGAATGGTACTCTGAATATTGGAGGCAATAAGAAAAAATACAGAACGAAAACGATTCTTGCTGGTGATGTCTGGAAAGGCTACAGTTTTCTAGGCATCATCTGACTGGCAGATTAGGTGGAGGCAGAAATCGCCCGGGAATAACAAGGAAATAAAAACTCCTTTTGAAATATTAGCTGATGCGCACACGAGAGGCTAACCATTCCTGATCTTCAATAAGTGATAACGAGCATCAAGCTCTGTCTTGCCACCAATCAAGATACTCAATTACCGCTGGATCAATCATCAGACCTGAAAAGATCAAAGCACAGATCTTTCCAGCAAAATCAAAATTCTGTTTCACCACTGTCCTAACTTAAATATATACCGCAATGCAGATAATTAATTCATTAAGTCTTAAAATTAAAAAATTATTAGTGAATAAGTTTAAAAGCTAAAAAGTTATATTTAGGTCCAATAAAAATTTTTATTACCTAAAGTTGTACTCTCACCCTATACACTTCAGATCGCCTCTTATCGTGGGCAGAAGATCAGTGTTATGTACACGTATATAATTAATTGTAATATGTATTTTACTTTAATAATACTAATGACTCACATCAAATATTAAAACGAATTTTACTTCTTTAATTACGATAAACAAAAATATTTGGTTCCCTTAGTCATAGTTTTCCATGTTATTAAAACTAAAATAAAAAAATTTTATAACATGATCTCCTATACTGATGACCCCTCTCCCCCTTGTCCTTTTTATCTTAACTTCTATAAATACGACGTCCTTTGTGGTTGGCCCCTTATATCTAAAGTAGCTTTTTTTGCTGATGAACTTTATACTCCTGTCTTGACTAAAAGTCTTCTCTAATTGAACGCTTAGAACAGGCAGACAATCTTAAATTTAATCTCACTTTTGTAACAGATTGGGGCTCACAGTGGCTTGTAAATTTTAACTCCAACTAAACCCAGTTATTTACTGCAAACAACTATCACAGTACTGTCAACATTCCTATATTAATGAATGGCAACCATCTCATTGATTCCTCTTCTTACACCTTCTTGGATTATCGTTTACTACTGACCTTTCATGGAAACCATAAATACAATCAATTGCTAAATTAGCATCTGCTAAGGTTGCTACTCTTTATCGTGCTCGCCATTTTCTCTCTCCTAATTCCATTATCTACCTCTAAAAATCTCTTATTCACCCAAATACTGTTATAGTATTTGGGCTGGTTCTTCTAACGATGCTCTTTGTCTTCTAGACAAGGTCCAAAAAACTGCATTATAAATGTAGCTGGACTATCTGCTAAGCTTGAGCCTCTTTTCTAAAGTAAAGTCTCTCTCCCATCTTCATGTTTTCCTGATTCACACAACCTTCAACTTTTAAAGTCCTATGTCAATCGTTTCCTTGCTCTATAACTCTATTCTATTTTTCTAGTAACTCCCAACTTAATAGTGGTTGCTTGCAGCCTTGTTGTTGAATCAGAATTTGAAAAAAAAAAACAAACTAAAAAAATGTTTTTTGATATTGAATATTTTTTAATATATTCATATCTGTATATTTTCTAATATATACACCTGTAGTGTAAATAAAAAAATTTATTTAAAAAAGTCAAACAATATCATCACAATTTTATCTTGCAAAACAACAACATCAGCTTCATCCACAACTACTTTGGTGATTAGGTTAAAAATCTCATTTGCTGATTGGGTTTCTATTACATGGAAGAATACTCGTTTAATTTATTAGCTAACAAACATTTATACAAAATATTTTTTGTGTACAAATATATTCATATACCAATATTTGTTTAACAAATACTATTTGTTTAACAAATACATATTTCTTAAAGGAATGAGCATTCATAAAATCCAATCATCATTCATAAAATCCAATCAATCAGCAGCTAAATAACCTTACAAGTAATACATTTTTTTCTTCTAATTATTGTTTTGAATAACTTTATTTTAGAACTAATTAAATAATAATTTAATATTTAATTAGTTCTTACTATTATTATTAGTATCTTGTAAATATTCAATTGGAAATTTTTTTTTGCATACTATTAAACCAACTTTAAGGAGTTGTCCATAAAGTACTTACGCCAAAAATTTTGAAATCTGACCCCCTCCCTCCCCCTGTTGCCAAGCGTAATTTTAAGTCCTTCTTTCCCCCTAAAAAAGCACATACATTTTTGAAATACCCCTCACCCCAACTTTTTTTTTTCAATGAAAAAGTTTATGGAAAAAAAAAAATGAAGGAGGCACTTTAGCTACTTTATATGGCCCAAAAGCTCTTCGTTTGCGGCACAGGATCCGAATTTAACAAACCTCTTTAAATATATATACAAATATAGTTAAATTACCTTTTGGTCTAGCGGTTAGTTCTACGGACTGAGGCGACGGAGATCGGTGTTCGATCCCCAGTCGAGTCAAATTGCAATTTTTGTGTTTTAATGACAAATCAAATTAAAAAAAAACTATACTTGAGGCGGACCTTTTTTTTAGGCACCCCTTATTTAGTAAGTCCATTAAAAATGAGTCCTACGCGAGATCAGTAATATCGAAAACAAAGCCTAAAACCCAGTGCCGAGGATAGGCTACTTGAGGGAAACTATACTCTCTACTCCCTATACCAAACATCTTTTTATGTTGGCAAACTTGGATCTTTAGTCAGAATTTTAACTTTTCTATTGATTAGCTGGTTAATTGTGATAAATTAGAAAACCGATGTACGTACTTTTAAATTGAACCCCCTTCCCTATACGCTTTTTGAAGACCTCCCCCTCCCCACTATGAGCATACGTACTTTATGGACGACCCCTAACTTCTTGCTTTCTGCTTGAGCTACAACCTTTTAAATTTTTTTTCAAACCTACTATTAATTCCTTAAAAATTGCACAAGTCTTGTATTTGGGAATTCTTTGAGAAGACTGATACTCCTTATGAAAAATGTAATGTGTGCGACAACAAACTTGTTGTTAAGGCTGCTCCCACCTAAAGTCTTTTTAACCATCTAAAGGGACATCATGATTTTTTTTTTAATCTTAGAGACTTTAAAATATTCAGCAACAATGTATGCTAGTACATAGAAAATTTTACATTAATGCAACAGTATTAAAAGTCACATGACAAAATACCTAAGTTCCTGTTAAATAAACAAACGATTAAAATAATTGCAAAAAATAACATAAGTTAACTGTTTTAAAAACCACAAATTTATAGAATGTTTGAGTATTTTTATTGTTTTATTTTGTTTTCACTGTTTTACTTTATTTTAATACCTGTCTTTTTTATTTTTGTTTTCATTTTTCTTAAATCTGGATGTGCACACACTTTTCTTCTTAAATGTGTACACATATGTGTGTATGTATGCTATTATACATGTGACAAATGATACCAAAAAAATAAATAAATAAAAAGAAAACAGGTCTCACCTTAATCTCTATTAAAATAGCTTCTAATTGCGCTATCTCCAGGTTTTCAGTTACTATTTCTAACAAAGATGATGTCAATGTCAGCCATGTATCAACAACATTAATACCTTGCTCTAGTTCAATTACCATTTGGCGAGACTTTTGCAACTAAAAAAAAACAAACTATAAATATAAAAAGAAGCACAAATGTTTTGTTTTAATTTGATCTTTGGAGAAGTGGAAGCAAGTAAGTATTTTTAGTGATGAAAGTAACTTTGAAGTAATTAATAGAAAAAGCAAAGTTCTTGTTAAAAGATCTAAATTGGAAAAGTATAGTTATCACTTTGTTATACAGAGGTTGCTAGGTGGTGATGGGAGTGTTGGTATTTGGGGCTGCTTTAATTTAAATGGAGTAAGTGTGTAACATTTATACAGGTCAAATCAGTTAACATACCTATATAGAGGCACTAGAGAACTGCATTGTTCCATCAGTGGTCATGTTGATTGATTGAAATAAATAGTAGGAACTCCAACAAAATTTAGTGCCCACACAGTTTGTACAGTAAAAACATGAATGAAAAAAAACAAAGTAAATTTATTGCCCTAGCCAGCTCAATCATCAGATTTAAATCCAATTAAATCTATTTGGGCTTGGATGGACAAAAAATTAGTCAAGGCATAAATAAGCTGCATATATGGCCAAAAGCAAAAATTAGATACCATTTGGAGAAGAGTTCCAAATATTTGCAACAATCTTGTAAAATGGATGCAAAAAAGCTTGTGGGGGATATTTTAAATACTAGTTTAAATGTTATTTTTATTGCATTAATTTTTTATATATTGCAGTTTTTTTTATTGATACTTTTTGCAATGATTTTCAATAACGTTTTTATATACAGTTTTATGTTATAGTATGTCATCCAAGACGCAAGATTTGTTTAAAATTTTTTTTTCTTACAAATAAAAAATTCAATAACTTCTTTAGTTTCAATTTTATGGAGGTTTAAATATGCTTTATACAACAAAATTTTACTGCACCTATTTTTTTTAAAAGCACTACATATATATATATATATATATATATATATATATATATATATATATATATATATATATATATATATATATATATACATATATGGGCAATTACTTTACACGCACAACAACTTTATCAAATATTTGCCTATTTAAACTGTAAATTAAACTTTTAGCTACTTTGTATGAAAGCTGTTTGTCTAAAGAATAAAATAAGCTAAAAAATTTCGAGTCTGTCTGAATAAGGGTGAGCTTATTACTAAAAATGCCACTTAACTTACGTTACACGGAAAACTAGGTAAAAAAATTGCTTCAACTTTAAGGTCAGATTTCTGCGAATCAGTAAAGCGGTTTGTATTAAAACTTTCACAAGATGTTAAGAATTCTGTGATAATTTAAAAAAATATATAAAATTTTATCATAGGTGACCAAGTAAGGAAAAAAAAATGTTTTTTTTTTATACTATGTATCTAACTTACATTACATCACTTATGTTACCTTGCGATTGTTATTGTGGATTTTTTACTTCTATTATTTCGAGTTAGAGTTTCATAACAAAATAATTTCAAAGGTATTGAATTTATTCATTAAAAATAATTAACAAAGGAAATTTTAAAAAACTGGTGGCACTCTTCCTGAGTGATTTTTCATAATATTTTTAAAAGTTATCAAATCGAAAACAGTTTTTCTGCAAGACCAAGAGCAACTTTGAAAAATTGTTTTAGTATTACAACTTTTTAATACTTATTTGAGTCATTTAAATAAGAAAATCTTTGGTTTGTCAAAGTTTTTACTTACACTCCTTATGTTTATGCGTATTACCTTATTTTCATTAGGTTGAATTTTTAAAATGCTGCAAAATATTTACATTTTAATCTTTTAAAATAGTTTTGAAGAAAAACTGCTATTACAGTTTAGGAGGGAGAGGGATTCAAATATATGTGATCATTTGTGACAGGAGGGAAGGTGTTAAAAATTGACAAGTATAGGCTGACATGCTTTATGGATGACCCATAATAGCATTTACAAACGATTATTTTTACTAAAACAAAAACAAACAAAAATCCTAACAGATTTTTTTTATATTAGGAGAATAGCAAATAAACCTGTTTTTTTTTAATGTCTAAATACAAATATTTAAATAACTCTTATTTTTATTTATTTATGTATATTTATGTCAAATAAAATAAGAATACATAAACAAATAAAAAAGCAATAATATAAATAATTTTAATTAACATAAAAAAAAAAAAAATTTCTTCTAAATTCTCCTAATATAAAAAGTTCCAGTTTTAATTTCAACGAAATAATAATTACATAATGACATAATTCATTTTGTTAACAAAAAAGCACCAGAACTTAAGAAAATGTTTGTAGTTTTAACTTACATTACACAAATTTAAAATAAAATTATGCTGTAACTAAGCATCCTTATTCAAAACTTTAAATGCACAAATGTTACATTTAATTTTTATTCTTTTTCGCATATTTTATTAAAAAACTTAAGTTTTTTAACTAAATTTTATAACAAACAAAACTTTATCATGTTTTTGTTAACTTTTGTTAACATGTTATATGAAAATTGCAAAAGTTCATTTGTTAATTTCTTAAAATATATATATTTTATAAAGTATAAAATCTGACCAACAACAACATGTTAGCTCCATTTTCACGCTAATTTAATTCCGATTATGCATATAAATTCATATTAGAATAACATTTTACACTGATACCTTTTTTATCATGCGATAATGAGAAAAACCGTAACTTTTGAAGGCATAAAGATGACTTAAATAAATTAATTTTAGTATTAAAGATATATTTTAAATAAACTTTCATGTGTCTACATCAATATTTGTTTGCTAAAAGTTGACAAAAAAGAGAATTAAATTTGACTACTTTTCATTTTCTGCCATGCAATTGCCCATATATATATATATATATATATATATATATATATATATATATATATATATATATATATATATATATATATATATATATATATATATATATATACACACATACCCAGCTAGCATGCATAACATTGGTCAACGTCGGACCAACATCGGAAGCGTTGTGCAACTTTTTTTAACTACCTACTTACATCGAACCAACGTCGGGTCAACGTCTAAATACAACTTATTTTAAAAAGCGTATAGTGTATTTCAGGTTTTAGTCTTAGGACATTTTGAAATGCTGTTATTTTTATTTTAGCGCAATGTTTTTATTTGAGAATTTTGTTTGCTTTGAATTTACAATTGAATTAAAATTAGTATATTGGCTCTTATACTTTGATAATGTTTAAATATGTACATAAATGTATATTTATATTCATAAATGTTTATTTATGTACATATTGTTTAACTTGTTTTGAACAGCTGCTGTGCAAGTGAATAAATGCCTTGAAGCAAATGTTGCAATTATTGAATTCAATAATTGCTTCATGAGACTTAATGATTAAGTCTCATGAAGCAATTATTGAATTCAATAATTGCAACATTTGCTTCAAGACACATATAAACTTAATAAGTGTCAAACTCTTCATGACTTAATAAAGTTATGGTTAAAATATGAAGGAAATCATCATGCAGGAGAAAGAAATTAGGACGAGGAAGATAATAATGATAACAATAACTGATGTATTATTACATAACTGATGTATTTTTACATAAAACTATAATGACTTATATGTAACAGTTTACTAAGCAAACAAACATATGCTTGTTTGCTTAATTTATGTCAATTTTTTTTCTGTAACATTTTTATATATTTATATGTAATAACTTTTATATTTTTATATCAACTTTTATATATATTTTGAATGATTTTTAGATATTTCAAAATAAATTTAATAATCATTACAAGAAATTTTATTTATTAGTAGTACAAAATACATTGTGCATTTATATAGAACTTAGTTGCTATAAATTTAAAATAATAATGAGTATTTAAATGAGTATTAAGTTTTTAAATATAACACTAAATCATAAAAATACGATACAAACATGTATAAATGTATAAATATGAAATATAAATACAAAGTATTTTTTCTTTAAAATAAGAGTTTACTTAAATAATTAATAACTATTTAGTTATCTGTTTGTAGTTAATAATTACATTTTTAAAGCATCATTTTCAAATATTTTTTAAATAATGAAATGATTTGGCTAAATTTGTATAAAGTTTTGATTTTAGTAAGCTATAAATTATGATAGTTATGCAAAAAAGTTGTGAAAGTATTGTTTTAAAGCATAAACAGATTGATTTACACATTGGAAGAAGTCTCGGAAACATAGAATGATTGAATCAAGAAAAAAAGTGGTAATAAAGGAATCAAAAAAGATTGCATTACTTGACAAGGTGATTGTGAAAAGAAATCACACTAATTGTTGTTTAGAGAGCACAGGTTAAAGTACTTTATTTTTATAAATTCTTTTTTTCAGAATTTTAAATCAAATTTTAACAATCACAAGGTTCTAAAATAAAATAGAATCATAAGCAAAATAGTTTTCTGTGTGCACAACACAAAAATATATTTTAGGTGTTTACGTAACTTGTAAAGAAATTTATCTACATTATTTTAGAGAATATAATTTATCAAGAACTTAAGGGTACCAAAATTTACATGAATGTCTGGGTTAAAATTGTGCAGTTGCTATGTCCCCTCATGGAGCAGCATTGATTGCAGGAGAATCTACAAAATTGTGCTATAACTCTTTTATAAAGCATCAAGACTACATTTTATGCTCTAATCTTTCATTTTATTTTAAAAGATATATTTTTCTAGGTCAACATCCTTATATTTTATTTTCATTTTTTAATATCATTTATGATATTAATATCATTTACAATATTCAATGCAATATCCAATAATATTTTAGATGGCTGCTTCATATAGAACAAATAGATAAAGAGTTATAAAGCAAGTTGGTAGAGATATAAAAGAAGTTTATGTTGAATGTTGTGGTCTGAAAAGTAATTTGCCTACCAATAATGTTCCTAAAGTGTTAGTTATGGTGACAATGTATATGAGAGTAATATTTTAAAAAAATCAATGTTTCAATGAACATTACCCAAGAAATAGTAGGCACATTCTTACCTTTTGAATAAAAATTTAAAAGATTCTTTTA